GGGAGAGAGGGGGTGGAAATATTGGGGCCTAAGAAGGCTTCTTGTCACCCATCTCTCTGAGGTAGACCGTATATCCCTAATGAGTGCTCCACATCTGCACATCCGTGGTGGGTCAAATGGTGGCTCCCAGACCATAGGTCCACCCAGATCCTGTGAGTATGGGCTTGTTTATGAACAAGGTCTTGGCAGCCATAGTGAAAGATCTCAGCATGAGATCACCCTGGATTACCCAAGTGGGCCCTAAACCCAATGGCAAGCGTCCTTGTGAGAGAAGAGAAAGGGAGAAGACACACGGAAGGTGAAGATGGCGGCAGAGATTGGGGTGATGTATCTACAGGACAAAGAAGGCCAAGGACACCAAATGTCACCAGAGGACAGGAAACGGCCATGGAACACATTGTCCCTGAGTCTCCCGAGAGACCCAACATTGTGATACCTCGATTTCCAACTTCGAGCCTCCAGAACTGTGAGGCAATACATTTCTGTGAGGCTGGCCCCATAACCTAGAGGTTAAGGCAGCCGAATCCCACATGGCAGACTGTGGTTTGAATCCTGGCCCCGGCAGCTGCATGCATGAGCGCGCATGTCCAAACACCCAACAGGATGGAGAAATGGAAGCGAAACGATTGCAGAACGACCATGCCCCGTTGAGAGGCGCTTTCTCCCTCTCTTTCTTTCTCTCTCTCTCTCTCTCTCTGATGAACACAGGTGTTCTCTGATCATTAAAATTTAATTAGTTAAAAAGGGACCAACAGATGGTGCGATGAGTTATGTCGCTGAACTCCAACATAGTGACTGCAGTTTGAGTTCTGGACCCGGAGACTTAAAACTGACACTGGGCACATGTGTGTCCATGCCCAAAATCCCAAGAGGAAAATGGAGGAGAAGGGATTGCAGTGTGGCCATCACCCCCAGGGGATGATTTCTTGCTTTCTATCTCTCTGTCTCTCTTTATTTCTCTGGCGAGATCATAAGCTCTATAGCAAAAGTCTCTCCAAAAAACATAAACTAACTAACTAAATATTACATTTGTGTTGTTGCAGGGTACCCAATTGGTGGTGCTTTGGTACAACGTCCCTAGCACACTAATATAGCAACCCCCAGTAAGACGATTCCAAAGAAAGTTCAAAACTGGGACCAGCAGATGGCATAATGGTCACATCTCTGGACTCCCACATAGTTAACCATAGTTCAAGTCCCAGACGCGGTAGCTTAAAACTCATACTGGGCACATATGTGTACATGCCTAAAATCCCAAGAGGAGAATGAAGGAGAAGGGATTGTGGCATGGCCATTCCCAGGGTGGGGGAGAAGTGATTTCTTACTTCCTGTGTCTCTATCTCTCCAGGGAGCACATATGCCCTATAGCAAAAATCTCTCTAGGGACCAGCGGTTGGCGTAATGGCTATGTCACTGGACTCCCATGTAGTCGACCGTGGTTTGAGTCCCAGACCCGGTGGCTTAAACTCACGCCGGGTACGTGTGTGTGCGTGCCCAAGATCCCGAGAGGAGAATGGAGGAGAAGGGATTGCTGCATGGCCATTCCCCCTAGGGGGTGACTTCTCGCTTTCTGTCTCTCCTCGCTTTCTGTCTCTCCGTCTCTCTCTCTCTTTCTGGCAAGCGCACGTGCCCTGTAGCAAAAAAAAAAAAAAACAAAACAAAAACAAAAAAAAAAACTTATCCAAAAAAAAAAGTTCAAAATGAGTTTTATGGGGCTACAGTCGTAGTGTTGGCAGGGCTGTTCCTTCTGGAGGCTCCAGGGAAGAACCCATCCTTTGCACTTACCAGCTTCTAGAGGTTGCTAGCATTCCTTGGCTGCTGTTCTGTTACTCCAGCCTCTGCTTCTGGAGTCACGTGACCTTCTCTTCCTACTACTCTGACCTCCTGCCTCCCTCTTATAAGGGTCACTGTGGTTCCATTGGGTCCAGTGGATAAGCCAGGATGACCTGCCCATCTCAAGATCTATTGCTTAACCATGTCTGCGGTCTCTTTGGTCACAGGAGGTGACATGGGTTCTGAGAAGTAGAATGCAGATATCTTTGGGGGCCCATTTTCTGGGTTACCACAGGAAGACCCTTATCTTCCTCCCCCTAATTCTCTTCTTCACACACATTGAGGTGGTCACCAAGAACAACACTCACCTGATGACTTTCATGGTGGAACTGTAGCATGTCACGAGTGTCAGG